CTCAGCTTCTCCTTCATCCTTCCATGGTCAGTTGACACACATCTTACTTCTCCTGCCCCCGTGCTGACCTTGGCGCCACAGAGTTTGACGCCTGGCTACCATTCATGAACATCTGGACTTTTGGCAAGGCGAGGTTTCAGCCTAATGTCCTGATTGCTATTACTAAGAAACATGGATACCTTTACTTCCAAATTGGAAACTTCCACTAAAGAAAAAAAATTCAAAATTCCAAGATGTTTTAGATGAGAAGAGTGCCCTGGAGAGAGTTGTCAATGGTCTCACTCACATACATATATTACATTAGCACTACCAGCCAGCCTTGAAGGAGAAATTTGAAGATTCTTTAGGAAGCTGGAGCTCTCAATTACTCCAAACCTCATGGGGTATAGACAACAAGAATAGATATTGCTTTACAGAAAGGTCTTTTTTATTAGAACTAGATTAAGTCTGAATCTTGGCTTTGCTCTTTACCTCTTTGGGACACTGAGGAAGTTTCACGATTTTCCTAAACTCCTATTTCCTGAATCTGTAGGATGAAAATTGTAAGTAATATTTATGTTTACCTCTTAGGATAGCTGTGAGAAATTAGATAATAAATGTAGTATTTACCATGATACCTGGAACAAAAAATGTTCATTGGATTTTTGTGTAATGTATTACAGAGACTATGGGGATTGTTTTATTCTACTTTATGATTCTACTGTATTTCTGAAGGATTAATTAGGAAGGCTTGACCAACTAGTTTTAATTAATCTTCTGAACTGCCTGGTGCTGTGGGGCTAATTTCTCCTATCAGGAGGTAGTGACTCAAGTCCTAGATGCCACTTGCAGAGATACCTCATAAATTCCTTTGCTGAAGTGCATGCCATTCTGCACCTCCAGGCTCACTGTTTCCTATCTCTCAGCTGTGATGTCCCATCAGTCCACACAAAAACTTTGGAGATGGGGACAGGAGACAGGAAGAAGCAACTCAGATTAAGGGTAGGATGGCCTGTGTTTCACCCAATTTATTCAAATGCCCTGTAAGTTGACAAGACTGTCACCCAGGGAACTCTCTGTGAGTCTGGCTGGGCTACATAATAGGGGCAGTGTGGACTGACAAGTCAGAAGGAGGTGAAAATAAACAAGAGGATGTGTGTCTTAGGGGGAACATTTTCTTGATGGATTAGGTAGGAGGTATGAGGAACACAGAAAACCCACAAATTACCAGTGATAGAACTGTGAGTAGTTAACTGCTGCCCAATGTAATGACACTCTGATAAAGACACTTCAAATGTAGAAGCATGCTTTTCACTCAGGATATTTCACTGTTAGACTTTCTTCCTTTTTTGCTCTCCCTGTGACTGAGCAAGTTTCCTTGAGATACATTTCATGAGAAGGGGATTTTGATTTACTTGGCATGTATTCAGGTGGCTTCTCCTTCAATGGTAACTGAAGCTGGAAACACTTTAAGAGAGCATCTGCTCACTCTAACAGAAAGGACAGCCACTAAACCAGAAAAGACAAATATAATACTTCTGCCTCTGTTTGAAATATTACCAATCAATCTTCACAATTTTCTAAATTGTAATGAATATATATATATATATATATATGTATATATATATACATATATATATATATACTTTTTTTTATTATGTACCTTTCATAGCCTTTCCATGTCAAATGTAATTCCTACCATTTCTTGGCAATACTTGATGAGAATTAACCATTAGTTCTGGATGACTGTGGGGGAGTTAGGAGATGATTCTGTGAGGAAATGGACACAGTTAGATAAAATGCAGTCAGGAAAAATGGGCAATCTAAGAAGCAGCTCAGAGAAAACTTTTTCAGACATGTCTGCCTTTATAGTTTCACAATATATTCTATTTTAATTCCTTTTAACTATCTCCTTTAATTAAAAATAATATAACTTTTTTGAGGGGAGAGGGAGAAGAAGGGCAGGAGAGGGACTGTCACAGTGAATCCAAACAGTGATAGGTAATGATAGAACTGTGGCATGGAGGTACAGTCCTCATTTTATATCATGAACGAGGTGAGGGCAGGGCAATTGACCTAAAATTTATTAACCCCCATGGTTTAGCACAAAGTAGGAACTTAGTGAATGTTTTGGATGATTTTCATAATGCAAGCAATCGCAGGCTTGGCTTCTTACAAGTGCAATCTTGTACCCAAAGATATTTGCAGGTTAAGAATGCAGGACTACCAGTTTTCAGTGGTAGTCTTTAAATCCTGTAGTAAAAAAAAGTACTTGATTGTTTCCCAAACAGAATCTTCCATACTGCTTGCAGGGTGATGCTAAACTCTCCCAAAGGGTCCTGGCCTGCTTTCTGCTGGTCCTCCTAGAGTGCTGGGAGGAGAAGAGGGAGCTAACACTTGGAGAAGTGAGAAGGCTCTACTCAATCCTCCAAATTATATTTGTTCATCCATAGTCCTAACCCAGCTTCCCCAAAGGCAGGTGAAGACACAGCTGAGCAACACTGGCCGTACTTAGGAGGAGGAGTCAGGGCAAGTCTGGCCGTGGAAAGCAAGGGGCTGCAGAGCTCAGGGTGAGAGGAAAGAACGCTTTTCCTTAAAGGTACTCAGTGTACTCAGATGATCCCACTATTAAGTGTTTTTTTTTTAGTGAATTTTTCAGTGTTAAAATCATTTGAGTTGCTATAGTACTGAAATTAAGAGACTCCAGAAATCCAGGTACAGTAAGTAGCAGAATGAAATGATTTGGGCAGATTATGATGAGGAACAGCCAAGGGGTATCTTCTATAATATACAGGGAAGCTCTTGAACACAGCTTATGAATTCTTATAGTCAAGTACTAACATCATCTTAAGTTTCACTAGAATTATTTATAATATTAAAAAATAGTTTTAAATAATATCAAGTAATAAAACAGGGCTAGTCACATGGAAATCAATTTTTAATCAGCCTATAATAAAAAGTTTAGGTACAGATGTATAAGTTTAGTTCTTTAAATGATAAATTAAATCATGGTCAATTATGGTCCATGATACTGGCCAAAAAAGTTAAAAGAGTGTGCACCATATGAAAAGGAATTGACATTCTCATGCACTGGGCACAGCAGGCCTTCTTGGAAGGTAATCTGGGAACATGTGCTAGAAATCTCAAAATTATGCTGGCCTCTAACCCAACATTCCTACATTTACAAACTTATCCCAAGTAAGTAACCAATGAGGCATGTGAAAAGATTTAACTACAAGGATAGTTCATTTCGGAAATTATTTATAATTGTAAAAATGTGGGACCAACCAAAATGTCAATGGCAGGAAGTGGTTTAATAAAGTATGTCATGATGAGACATGGGGCAGTCATTATCAATGAGGATGTAGACAAAAATGTAATGACCTGAGAAAATGTTCATGAGATAGTGGTACATAAAAATAAAGCAGCTTACAAAGGAGCATTTTCAAAGTGATTACCTAAAAATATATAGGTATACTCTGTGCATACATGTAGGTACACTTAAAAAGTGCCTTAAGAAAATCGGAAAGAATCCATACTAGAATATTAATAAATAATTTAATTTTATGTTTAATTTTCTAAATTTCTGAATATTCTTCAGTGAACCTCTATTACTTTGTAATCAGAAAAATACAACTAAAAATAAAAAATATTGTGTATTGCACCTACTCAAGATAGAAAAATTGTGTCTAAGTCCATCTATATAATAATCTAAAATTTTAAGAAAATACTTGGACAGTAAAATATCTTTATTTCATGGAATTGCTTATTCCATTTATTTAAGACAGTTCATTTTTTTACACAATGTACTTTATTGCTTAAGCTTAATAATGCATATGTAGTAACAAGTTATTTAATATCCAAGTAGCCTCTAAATATTTATATATTGACAGCAGAGATATCAGCTGCTTGCATGCAGTTACTAATGGGTTAGACAGTAGCTCATAGAACATAAATAGGCCCCATCTTTTTTATACTTCCATCCAATACCCACAGACACTTGCTGGACAGTGGGGGCAGAGAGAAAGGCAGGTCTGTCTTCAGGAGCTCATGGCTGGTAGAACCACAGTGTGACATGATTCCTGATAAAGGGAAGCACAAGGGGAATCCCAGGCAATGGGGGCATGCCACTGAGGTACACCCAGATATGGGGACAAAGAGTGAGCTGAAGTACAGAAACAGAGGGAGCCAGAAGAGAGGGAGCTATGCAACTGGCTGCAATGACAGGAAGGGGGAGGGCAGGGACATCTGGGATGACTCCAGAGAGAAACTAGAAACTTAAACTCAAGAAAGAACTTATAGACACAGACAATAGTTTAGTGGTTACCAGAGGGTAAGCGGGGAGAAGGGTAGTAGATGAGGGTAAATGGGGTCAAATATATGGTGATAGAAGGTGAACTGATTCTGAGAGGTGAACACACAATGTGATATATAGATGATGTATTATGAATTGTACACTTGAAACCTATGTTAATTTTACTAACCATTGTTATACATATATATATATATATTTTTAAGCTGAGCCATCTTGCCACCTGTTGGCAGCTCAGCGGCTGTTCAGCTCGGGCCAGGACTTGAACCGCTGTTGCTCAGAGTCCAAATTCTTTTTTTTTTTTTTTAAGATTTTTATTGGGGAAATTGGGGGGTGGGAACAGTGCTGGGGAATTGGGGGAAGGGGAACAGACAAGTTGCCGGCTTCTGGAGGGCCGCTCACTGCGGCTGCTGGCCGCTCACGCTGGCTGCTGGCCGCTCACGCTGGCTGCTGGCTACGTATGGTAGCCTGTGGCAACCCACTGCCACAGGGGCTGCAGCCTACGCCATCACCGGCGACTCACAGCAGCCCAGCTCCAGGTTGAGCTGTTGTTCAGCATCTTGGCTGTGGAGGGCAGTGTCACTGGCCCTCATATATGGGATCCGAACCGGGGCCCTCTGGCATCCCAAACCAGTTCTTAACCATCGCGCCACTCGGCCGGCCCTCAGAGCCCAAATTCTTGAGCGAGCTCTTAACCAACTGAGCCACTCAGCCAGCCCTACCAATATATTTTAATTAAGAAAAAAGAAACAACAACATTTTTCTCTTCCTCCACTTGCTATGAGTTTGGAATTATCTTGTGGTACTTGGTACTTTTCAATCTATTGAATTTATTGAGTGTCCATTCTGTGCAGATATATACTGCTTTGTCAGATATATAAATATGTGTGATGAGACCCCAGACCTCAGACACTTAAAATTTAGTCAGGTTGTTATGGCAAAGCCTAAAACAATATACAGATCATATTAAAATAGGTTATAAGTTTCTTTCATCTCTCTAAATCTCCATCAGTGCCTGGCAGAAAGATGTTTAAATGCTAAATGCCAGTGTTGTTTTATGTCATCTTAATTATTTACTGCTCCAAAGGAAATTCAGTAGTTTCAATGATTTTTAAATTTATGCCCAACATTTTTCTGACATGAAGAGTATTTGCCTTAACAATTCATGATTATATAACATCTCTATTAATTTCATTATTGTAAATGTTTTATGACAGTTATGTGCTTCAACAGACTGTCTAAATATAAAATATCTCTAGCAATATTAACTTGTCTTGCCAAACCCAACAACATCTAATAAGGAACTTCTTGTCTTCCATCCAATTTACTTGGTGCTTATACCAAAGTTGAATGATACATGTAAGTGAACATCATCCCTCATGCCAAACACATAATTCAACATCATCTTTCTGAGGTAAGTAGAAAAAATGCACAATACATATATATGCCTCCTTTTTTTACTCACTTGAGATAACACAGACATTTAGGTATTCAAATATCATTGAATTCATTTGGATCTTTGAATATGTGGGATTCAAATTCCATCTGGCTCTGTAAAATGAAAGTGCTCAAGTTAGTACAGACTTCTAAAAAAGGTAGAAAAAAATATTGTGTATGCTTCCATCATGTTTGAGGAGACACAAGATAACTGAGGAATAGTGGGAATAAAAAACTTGTGATTCTCATGCATTTATTTTTCACTCACAGATGGTGACAGTACTGACTATATTCCAAGCAGAATGCTTGGTATGGGGCCACAAATATGAGCAAGATTACATGACCTAGCTCTTCAGGAGCCACCAGCCTAGTGGCAGAGACTAGCCAGAAACTACTGAGCTTAATTTACTGCAGTGAGGCCTGCAATAAAGTAAGCACACAGTGGACCTGGGAGGCCAGGAGGACTAATTATGTCACAGCCAGGCTGTGGCAGGTAGCACAGATGCTTCCTGGAGCAGGAGAAATTAGACAGAGAGCTGGGGTGGGGAAGGAATGTAGTCCAGTAACACAAGAACCCAAAAGCTGAACACTTGGGATTTATTAATGAGGTAGGTGTGGTGACTTTGGCAAGAACAGTTTTAGGAGTGGACAGGAAGAAGCAATGGTAGTATAGGTCACACATATGGACAATTCTTTCAAGACACTTGTCTGAAAAAGAAAGCCATGGGATGAAATAGAAGGACGCATGGAATTAAGATAAGTTCTCCCCATTTCTTTCTTTCCTTCCTCCCTCTCTCCCTTTTTCCTTTTTTTCTTTCTCCCTTTCTTCCTCTCTCCTTTTTTTCTAAAGATGGGATTGATTTATACCTGTTTAAATCCTGGTGAGGTTTTAATAGTGAGGGAAGAGGTTGAAGATATAGGGTAAAGAGAAAGATGAATGATGAAGTAGTCCTTGAGGAGATGGAAGGAGACAAATCCAGAACCCTCCATCAGGCACTTCTGAGATCCATCCATCCATCCATCCAACCACCCATTCACTAAGCATTTACTAGGTAACTATCATGTGCTACACACAGTATATGGGGGAATATAGTGGAAAAAAGACCAATTTCCCACCCAGGGAGCTTATACCTACATGTTGAAACAGACAATAAGTAAATGAGTAAATGTATTCTATATAATGATAAGAACCACGAAGAAAAAAGAAGTAAGGTTAGGGGATTGAGGGGAAAGAGTAGTTCAGATGACCAGTAGCACTTGAGCAGAATGAGGAAATGGAATTTGGGCAGAGACTGAATGAAATGAGAGCCTGAGGCATGTGAAGGTATGGGGAAAGGATGTTTTACACAAGAGACTAGAGTAAGTGAAAAGGCAACTAAGGAGGAAAGTGAGGCAGCTGTGGTAACTCCAGGGGCAAGAGAGATTAGGAGACAGTAGGAGAGAACCCATTTGGGAGTTTCCAGCAAGGGAGGGGCATGATGGCATTTATATTTTTAAATATACTATATATTGCAAAGACTAGTCAGTAGGGGGACAACAGTGAAAGCAAGAAAGCTAATAATCTTGGCTAGGTGACAGATGATGGCAGTGTGATTTAGGTTGGTGGTCAGCAGATGTGTAGAAAAGTTATACTCAAGAATATATTTTGAAGAAGCAGTTAATGGTGCCATAACAGAAAAAATTAAGGATGAATCCTAGGTTTTTGACTAAACAAGTGAATGTATGGGGGTGTCATTAATTGAGATAGTGAAGACTGGAGGAGAAGTAAATTTGAGGGAAAACTAAGAATTTATTGAGATTATCCATTAGACATGTTGAGTAGGCAGCTGGAGATAAAGACTAGAGATTGAGTGGAAGTATATGGCAATAGTTATATATCACATCATTTCACCTCCTTAAAATCTTCCAATGAATCCTAGTGTCCTTCAAGACAAAAATCGAAGCTCCAAACTCTATTGGACTCAGCCCTTCTATGCATCTCCAGCTTCATCATCAGTCTCATACCACACCAAATGCTCTTCTAATACAGATTCATTTCTCTTCATCTCCCCCCT